ACAGTTTCTTGATCAACCATTATTTGTGTGCACAAATTAACAGGTGATGTTCCTGATGAACACTAGAGTTGGATCTGGGCCTTTACACAACTCTCCCAAAATATAAATTGAACCTTTTTTTAGGTTTGGAAAACTTTGGTTAATTTTTTCTCCCCTTTCTTCCTCTCAGCTGCATCCAATACAGATAGTCCTCAACGTACCAAACACTTGGTCGTAACTCGATCTGTTCATAAGTCGGACTCCAGTTATTTAAATGTGACTACGCTGTTTGTAAGCACGGATTGTGCATTTGTAACTTGGGGACTGGCTGTAATGCGCTTAATGGGAGGTTGGTCAGAAGTATGAGCAGTCGTAAGTTGATGCGTTCGTAACTCGGGGGACCACTTGTATTCCTGGTTTCTGCCTATAGCAACAATACAATAGCATGGCACTACAAAGGTGTCTTACGGATTTGCCAATCTAGTCCAAGCAGAAAATGGTGTTGTATTTTCAGTATCTGATGCTGATCTCTCAACAGTGTGAATCAGAAGTTAACTCTATTAAAGTCAATGGATTTATACAAGTATAAAACTGTAATTATTGAACAAAAACCATGCCATTAATTTGAGGCTCTCAAAGGACTTTATAATCATCAGTTAATTTAATCAAACAATGTTCCTATCAGGTAAGTTAACTGCTATATTACTGGAGCAGAGATGATTTGGAAATTGCTTTAGAAACTTGCTCACTTTGATAGTGAGGAAAGACTTAAAGAGAGCTGTCTTGCATAAAAGTAATGCTGTTGGTAGTTAGAAAGTCTGTACAGTGCTTCACAAATTATGGCAGAAGTTTTGAAATCTTGTTCCTTCTCCCAAATGACTTGATTTTAATGGCCTATCCAAAACAAACTGGCATCCTTTGTAGCCCTTTAGAGAATTCAAGTTCTACAAGCAGTCGACTTCACTTAATTAATATGAAAGCCCATGCTTAAGCCCAAGAATAAATTCATTAAATTGTACACGTCTTTTATCTTTAATAACCTAAACTGGAAGATGCTGTGAACACAGCTAACATAGAAAATATTCTTAATAAAATATCCTCAGATAGATGACTCTTACAAGAGAATTAACTTCAGCTTTACTAGACAGTGCTAGAGGGTCATTCATTAAGAAGTGGGTCTGAAGCAGGTAATATTTAATCATCCTTTGCATTATTTCTGACTTTTGCTTAAATAAAAAAATAGTTTTATTTGATTTAATCTTAAATGCTATGCAACCAATGGCCAAAGTATAATGAATGATGGCTTATGTTTATGGATAGTGACTTTCATCCAGTAAGATACCCAGGCACTTTACTAAGGCTACACTGCAGTGAAGCCGCCGGTATCCCGAAATAGCTATTCCGTGTCTTTTGAGCACGCCTGTTATTTTGAAATATAACGGGCTCGCTATTCTGACGTCCCTGTAAACCTCGTTCCACGAAGAGTAAGGAATGTTTCAGAAAAGTGATTTATTTTGATATAATTGCTATGTAGACAGCAACAAATTTCGAAATAAGCTAGTTTGAAATAACATTGAAATAAGATATGCAATTTGCATAGCTCAAATTGTGTATCTTATTTCAATCTACAGTACAGTATAGATGCACCCTGACTATGGTTTTGTGTGTGCAAGCAAGTGTTTGTTCACATATTACTGAAACTTGGCCATTTCTGGAGTGACATAATTCTTTAGTGGAACACAGAAACATTTTGTAATACTTCAGGACAAAAACGGTAAAAAGATTAAACTAAGGAAACATGGACATTATTTTAATACTATCTACCTTTGGGATTCTTAAGAGAATAGTTTAAATCCAGCTACTTGTATAGTATGGTAATTACAAGGAGGTGGGAGGAAATTAATTGTTCTTGTTAACCTCTGAGAATAGGACAAGAAGTAATGGGCTTAAGTTGCAGCAAAGGTGGATTAAGTTGGATATTAGGAAAAACTTCTTAACTGTCAGAGTAATTAAGCATTGGAATAAATTGGCTAGGGAGGTTGTGGGATCTCTATCATTTGAGCAGGTTAGACAAACACCTGTCAGGGATGAGGTAGATAATACTTTGTCCTGCCTTGACTGCAGAGATTAGAACAGAAGACCTCTTGCGGTCTCTTCCAGTTTTATACTTCTATGAATGATTCTATGTGGTCTATACAATCTAGAAGTGACCAATGGAGAGCTGCACATGTCACAAAACCACCATTATATATGGCATTTTTTGACTGTCTCAACCTAACAGTTAAAGACCAAATTTAGAAGTCCATAGAAGTGGTCCCGGTAAGCCAGACTCGAAACATATTAACAGGGCAGTGAAGGAAAGCTTTCCCTCTAGCTTCAGGTCAATAGAAGAACTGCATCTTCAAGGTCTGGTAGCATAACAAAATTCAAACAAGCTCTGTGTGTGTGTGTATGTGCGCGCACGTGTGTGTGTGTTTTAAAAAATGAAATAAAATACAATGTAGGTACAAAAATAGATCAAAGAAGAGGAAGGAAGAATCTCTCTCTTTCAAATATTCCCCATTTGGGACCCAAGAGTGAGCTGTGGATTTCTGTCCTCCCTCCCCCTTTTGCCTACAGTTTTCTTCAGACAAGTATTTTAGACTGCTCTCAGGAAATCCAGCAGTTTCCTATAGTGCCCACTGTTCCTTAAAACATATCTGTTCATGTCTTAGTACTTGTCAGTTTCCTGCAAGAAGCCTTTTTAGGAAGGTGGATGGCAGGGATAAGTGTTCTAGGTGTGGAAGGATGGAACCCTAGAGGAAAGAACGGATTTAGTTGAATTAGTTTACATGAAATTAGCTGGAATCAAAGGATCCTAAACCCTTTCTAGAAAAGGAGATGAGACTGACTGTTTGTAGTAGAAAGAGCAGCAGTAGGGACAGCAGCTCATTTGAGTCTGATAACCTCTGCCCTGAGAATAGCTAAATGGGAACTGTGGACATAGCAGAGATACTCAGCTAATTTTCATGATGGTACTTCTGGGAGCGTGTGAGAAAACTGTTAGAGCTCCTACCCAGAGATGGACCCTGAAGGGTGACCATTTTGTACCTGTGATGGGGCGAGGTCACAGATGACCCTTTGGAGATGCTTCTTGGAGTACTGACAAGGCCACTGCCGCTCGCCTTCCTGCTTTCTCACTACCCTGTCCTGCTGGGCCAGCTCCCTGGTCTTCTCAAGCCAAGTCACCAAGCTGAGATCACTGTCCCTCTCTCCGAGGAGTAATACAGACGCTGAAATGCTTCAAGTCCAAGGAAAATTCAGTTTTGGGTCCAGCTTCCCGGGATACCACTCCCCAAATGGGATGAGAACCCCCAAATTAATTATTTAGGTAAGCTCCCTTTAGCAATGAAAGGGGGATGTACATACTGATTGCACCCCCAGCTAACAATTATTTACACTGGGCTTGGTAGTAAATATAAGTAATTTTATTAAGTACAGGAAGTAGGATTCAAGTGGTTCTACGTAAGAACAGACAAAACAAAGTAGATTACAAATTTAAAATAACAGAAAATGCTTAACTAATTCTAACATTGAAACCTCAGTACAAACTTACTACAAATTCACCCTAAACTTGTTCTAATTTCAGTTAAGCCTCCAAATCAGGGAAGTTCCCTCTCCCTTGGTGGGACTTTTGATTAATTCCCCTGGGAGTGCCACGCCAGCCAAAGACAGACACTCCTAGCTTCTTATTGCTTTACAGATACCATCTTTCCATGGACAATTACTTGGTCCACCCCTACCAGTTGGAGTGGACATATGACTTCCTAAGACCAACCACTGCTAAGACTTAAAGGACAAAAGAGGCTGTTTACATATGATTTTGCCCAGACATTGAGGCATTCCAGAATTGGAAACACCCTTGATGGCTTTCAATTGCACATTTAAAAGCCATAAATCATTCTATACGCCATATCTCTAACTTTACATACAAGAGTAATACATGCTCCAAAGTAAGATATACAGACCCTGCAGATAATGACATTAAAATTGATAGGTTACAGGAGGTAATTTCTCCAAAACATCTTTGAGTTATGTATATTTGTATCAAATCCATTTCATAAAGCATGGGAAGGAGTGGTCTGTCACAGTACCAAAGATTTGTTCTGGGATCTTCAAAAATGTTTCTTATTGGCCGAACTGCTCCCACAGTCAGTGGTGAAGGCTGGAAGGGAGAGGTCCTCAAACACCATGAAAGTTGAGTGTTTCATTGTCATTCTAAATTTCACTGTGTTTAGGGTGCATCACTCCTTTGGAAACTCCCTTCACTGGGAGCAATCTTAGGTAAAGACTCTGGAAAAATCCCATCCTTGTATAATGTTTCTTTTTTGTGAGCTTAGTAGTAATACTGAGAGAAGAGATTTGAAGTTCTCACTAATCCTTTGGCTACCATTGCAAGTGAACTGACCACTAAGTTTAAATGAGGGTGAAATCAGACCATTTGTGTTTACTGTTTTAAGTCCCATTTATTTTTAAGAATACTAAATCATCCCAGAGATGATTTGTAGATCCAAAAGCTGACCAGTGGGAGGAATGACAGGCAACATCCGTAAATGAAGGAGTCGAGAGAGTGTATGTCCTGATAAAGTCAGCTCCTGTCTCAATGCAGTAAGAGCAATGAAGTCCAAATGAGTAATCCTGACAGATCCCTGCTATCAAAGGGAAGTGTGGTGTCTGTGTTACTTCCCATAATTTGAAAATCTGTTAAATATTTTGTGAAGAGCATATGTTGTGGATAAAATCAGTGTGTAAATATACATCTCTCTCTTAAATTACTGACAGGGTGGGAGTGTGGTGTTTAGCATTTGTAACCCCAACTCCTACTCCACTAGAAGGCCCAAAGCCAACCAGTAACAGCCCTGAGTGTGAATGATGTTGACTAGGAAGAGCGATGTGGTTTGCGAGGGTGGTCAAAGATGTGCTGGCTCAGTGCCTTCCTAAGCCAGCATATGCACATCAAATTTGTTCTTTTTCTTGTGCAGTCCTAGTGGTAAGGCAGTAACGTAATGAAGCAGCACATGCCCTGCCCTGGAAGGGACCCCCACTTCGTGCAGCAGCTCTGAAGACTGAAATCTTGCAGCTGCGGTGGTGACTCAATCGCTGATTATTTAAGTACAGAGTTTTCAGCAGAGAATGAAGTCTGATAGTCAGTACCTTGAAGGCAGTAAGTCTCGCCATATGGCAGCAAAATGTAAGCTCTGCCCACAGGCAAGCATTTGGTCATTGATCATATTCAAAGTACCCACGTGTTTCTGAACAGGTTCAAGTCTAAATATACTGGATCTGATTGTGGTCTCACAACTGCAGTAACAGCACCGGAACCACGACACTTTGGGATTTCTTATTGCAGGTCTATCTGCTCTGTCTGCTCACATGCCTCTCGTGTTCAGGCTATTGAAGTCATATTTATGACTAGATTAGTTTGTAAAACCTAGGGCTTTCAAAGGAAACATTTATGACTAAAATATTCAAAAGTACTTAAGTTACCCTGGCAGTACTCAAATGTTGAAAGCCATTTGCAAGAACATCTGCCTGATTAGTTTTTGGAAGATTTGAAAGTTATTCTGGAGTGTTCTAGGGAGTAGTTTAAGACTCAGCGTGGAGCAGCTGCGATTGGCAAGCTTTCAGGGTGTGGCTGGAGAGTAGAAAATTAAAGTTATTCCAGGGTTCTAGAATGCTGCTCTCAATAGAGTGGCACATGTTGTGCCTTGGAGCTGGCTTTGCTTCATGCAGTCCTGGGGGCCTATCAAGGGAGAGAGAGAGGTGGGGGGAATTGTTTTTTTTTGTTTTTTTTTTTAAACAAACTTATCTGTGTAACAAATGTTCTCTATTTTCATGAACATGGAGACCATGACTACTTTCACTTTCTGTTCCCCAGTTAAACATTCTGATGGCCAGAGAGCTGTAACTGTTTGATCCCCAGAATTAACTGTGTAACCATCTGTTAGCAGAATTTGCTTGCCTTCGCTCTCTGGGTATGTTTGCATTGATTCAAACGACAGTGTTGTATATTGGGTTGTAGATAAAGATCTTGTTGTTATGGTAACTGAGTAGGTCACTGGGGTCAGCCCAGATAGTCTGGGCTTGTTCTGGTGAGTTCTGTGCTATGCAATAAAATGGACACTTGCACCTACTCCAGCTCTCTGCCTTTCCACTGATTTCTTCCTATGCTGTGAAACTCCCCACGACATAACAGACAGATGTTCCCAAATTAGAATGGGATAAGCATGAGTAACCATGCAATGCCAGTCAAGTTATTGTATTTGTTCCAGAATGCTTATGGCAAAACATGTGCCATTTCTGCAACAAACTGACAGGCTACGTCTACACTGGTGGCTTCTTGCACAAGAACAGCTGTTCTTGAGGAAAAACTTGTGGGTTGTCTACACTGCACGTGCATTCTTGCGCAAGTAAATTTATAGTCTAGCATCGGAAAACAGGGCTTCTTCCAGACAAGTTATTCTTCTCCCCATGAGCAATAAGCCCTCTTGCACAAGAGGGCAGTGTAGACAGGCAACATTAATTTCTTGCGCAAGAAACCCCTATGGCTAAAATGGCCATCAGCGCTTTCTTGCGCGAGAGAACGTCCACACTGCCATAGACACTCTTGCGCAAAAGCATATCTCTTGAGCAAAAGCACATGCCAGCGTAGATGCGTTCTTGTGGAAGAATTTTTGTGCAAGAACTCTTCCGCAAAACAGTTCTTGTGGAAGAAGCTGCCAGTGTAGACGTAGCCACAATGTATAACAGTAGGGGAGCTGCTTCAACTTAGATTTTGTTTGACCTTAAAGCTAAACTGGATATGCCTTGTCAGTGATTCAGTGCTTGGCTGAGTGCCCTCTGGAGGAAAACTCAGGAAGTGTGGAGTAGTCAGTTGCTGCATTATCTGCATACCAATGTGCCTTTGCTGTTTGTCTCTGTTTAGGTATAAACAAAAGGGGATAGATTCTGTGCCACGCTGAGTGTCCATAGAACTATTGACTTCAGCTTCCGATTGCTGAATGGTGCTAGTAAATAATTGGATAAAGGCCTAGGATACTGAGCGTGCCTGTAAACAAAAGAAAAAGAGGCCTGTGGCTGGGGGAACAAAAAGGAAAATCTGCATACCATCGAGCAGATGCCTGATGATCAAAGTGACACCTTGTCTGAAGAAGAAGTGCCCTGCTATGTTTTATCTTTGAAAGGGGGCTTCGATGAATACTGGGTAACCCCACTGTTGGATGGCAAACCGGTACGCATGGAAGTGGACACTGGTGCAGCAGTTTCATTGGTCTCAGACTCGGTGTATAAGGAAAAGCTGAAGCATCTTCCACTTAAGGCAACAAAGATCATTCTGAAGACATATACAGGAGAAGCAGTACCCCTATTAGGCACTACTGATGTTAAGGTGGAACTAAATGGACGGACTGCAGAATTACCACTGTTTGTGGTGAAAGGCCATTACCCAGCCTTAATGGGGAGATCATGGCTTAAGAAGATCCCACTGGACTGGGCAGAAGTGCACCGGATGACTAAAGAAGAAACAGGTCTGACTGATATATTAAAGAGACATGCTGCTGTTTTTGGAGAGGATCTGGGAAGTATGAGGGGAATCACCGTGAAACTGAACATTAAACCTGGTAGCCAACCAAAATATCTGAAGGCCAGAACTGTACCATATGCTATCAGGCCAAAAGTTGAAGCGGACCTGGAACACTAGTAAAAAATGGAGTCCTAATACCAGTTACCCATAGTCCATGGGCAACTCCAATAGTTCCAATATTGAAGAAAGAAAACCAGCAAACAAATCATGAGCACCAAAGGAAATGCAGCGGCAGCCAGACTGATGACTTATATTACAACAGAGCTGACACAGAACCAAATGTACATGTTGCAGTTCGCCTTCAGATTTGGTACGGCAGCTACAAAAGATTAGTGAGTTATCAGGTGCTGGTACCTGAAGCAGATGGAACCAAAAGCTTTCAAAGAAGCTGGAAAGAGGGAGGTCACCTGAATGACCTTTCTGTGTCAAGGCAATATACTGGATAATGGACAGTGGAGATCAAAGCTTGACCCAAAGGAAATGGAAATTCATTATGCTTGTATTTCTTCCCAGGGTGTGAGGAATGCACCTCAACTGGCACCTCTACACCCATGGGACTGGCCTGAAAAACCATAGCAATGTATTCACGTTGATTTTGCTGGCCCATTTGAAAGTACAGCCTCTCTCTGAGTTATGAATGAGTTACGGACCAATCACTTGGCTGTAACTCGATCTGTTCGTAACTCAGACCCAATTGAGTTACATGAGACCGCGCTGTTCGTAAGTGCGGGTCGTGTTCGTAACTTGGGGACCACCTTTACGACTGCTCCATGGGAGCTTTGGTCATAAGTGCGAACGGTCATAACACGACCGTTCGCAACTCGGGGAGCGGCTGTAGCATGTTCTTGGTGGTGGTAGATGCTCATTCCAAATGGCCAGAAGTCTTTATAATGCCTTGCACTACTGCTGAGAGTACTATCCAAAAACTATGGGGAATCTTTTGTCATTTTGGTCTTCCAGAACAACTTGTGAGTGACAACAGTCCACAGTTTGTCTCTCAGGAGTTTGGAAATTTTATGAAAGCAAATGGGATCCATCACATCACTTTAGCACCATATCACCCACCCACGAATGGATTGGCTGAAAAGTTTGTCCAGATAATGAAACAAGCTTTGAAATTGGCTAGAGGACATTATATAAAAGCATCTGGACATCTTCTTACTATCCTACAAAAACACTCCTCATGCTACAACCAAAATGTCCCTAGCTTTTCTAATGATGGGATGTCAGCTGCTCACTTGCTTTGATTTGCTGAAACCTTTGGAACCGTGACAAATTGTGCAACATCAGCAGCAAGGTCAAGTCATCAGGCGTGCATCCAGAGCAAAAGATCAAACCTTTAGTCCTAGACAGCCAATTTTGGCTTGGAACTATGCTCCTGGAGCTAAATGGGTCCCTGCCACTATTATTGCTCAGGCAGGACCTGTTTCCTATGCTGTCTGGACTGAGAAGGATCTCATCTGGTGGCAGCTTGTAGATCAGTTATTAACAGATTATGTCTGCCCCCAAGACACATCTCCAGTTGAGTTGCCCATCCTTCCCACTGCTGGTGAGCTACCGTGTCAAGAATCACCTGCTCCTGACTCTCCTCCTCTATCACCACCTGCGGCTAACATAAACCCCTTCCCTGAGCAGGCTGATCTGACATCCTCACCTGTTCACACTTCAAGTTCCCATCCCAGTATCAGGCCCGCACCCATAACATCTTCGGGTAGAAGAACGTCCAGTCAGACGTCCGCCATAATCCACCTATAGAAAGACGGTCCTCCTCAACGACTGGACCTTTAGTTAAGATTAACTCACAGATGGGGCAAAATAATCCCCAGGGTTAGCTGGGAACTTGAGGCGTTCTACCCTCATTTCATAGTTAGTTTTTGTTTTCTTAAAGGGACATTTTTATTAAGGGGGGAGGAATATGTTGTATATTGGGTTGTAGATATAGATCTTGTTGTTATGGTAACTGAGTAGGTCACTGGGGTCAGCCCAGCTAGTCTGGGCTTGTTCTGGTGAGTTCTGTGCTATGCAATAAAATGGACACTTGCACCTACTCCAGCTCTCTGCCTTTCCACTGATTTCTTCCTATACTCTGAAACTCCCCACGACATAACAAATCACATTAAAAAAGTGTTTTAAAGTGGTGAAGAGGGATATTGTATTTGTTCCAGAATGCTTATGGCAAAACATGTGCCATTTCTGCAACAAACTGACAGGCTACGTCTACACTGGTGGCTTCTTGCACAAGAACAGCTGTTCTTGAGGAAAAACTTGTGGGTTGTCTACACTGCACGTGCATTCTTGCGCAAGTAAATTTATAGTCTAGCATCGGAAAACAGGGCTTCTTCCAGACAAGTTATTCTTCTCCCCATGAGCAATAAGCCCTCTTGCACAAGAGGGCAGTGTAGACAGGCAACATTAATTTCTTGCGCAAGAAACCCCTATGGCTAAAATGGCCATCAGCGCTTTCTTGCGCGAGAGAACGTCCACACTGCCATAGACACTCTTGCGCAAAAGCATATCTCTTGAGCAAAAGCACATGCCAGCGTAGATGCGTTCTTGTGGAAGAATTTTTGTGCAAGAACTCTTCCGCAAAACAGTTCTTGTGGAAGAAGCTGCCAGTGTAGACGTAGCCACAATGTATAACAGTAGGGGAGCTGCTTCAACTTAGATTTTGTTTGACCTTAAAGCTAAACTGGATATGCCTTGTCAGTGATTCAGTGCTTGGCTGAGTGCCCTCTGGAGGAAAACTCAGGAAGTGTGGAGTAGTCAGTTGCTGCATTATCTGCATACCAATGTGCCTTTGCTGTTTGTCTCTGTTTAGGTATAAACAAAAGGGGATAGATTCTGTGCCACGCTGAGTGTCCATAGAACTATTGACTTCAGCTTCCGATTGCTGAATGGTGCTAGTAAATAATTGGATAAAGGCCTGGTTTGTATTTCAAGTTTTACTGGCAAAGCCATGTCAGCATCGGGTGTGGTTTCTAATTATTAAAATATTTAAATTTGAATTTAGGACCCTTTGAAAAAAATAATTTTTACAAATTTGATTGCTATTTGACTGCATCTCACTGATCGCTGGGGAGTTGGGCTGCTCCAGCCTACGCTACCTGCTGCCCATTCTTAAAGACACAATGATAGCTTTAACTTGACCCTCAACACTACTTGAGCCTGCCCCTGCAATTTTTCACATAGGAAAAAAATCTCAAGTGCAGGTAAGGGAAATTCCCATCTGATGTTTTCCTGAAGGGGTGAGAACAGACCTGTTTCCTTATGTCAATTTGTACCCTAGTTTCAGTATGGTTTTTTATAAAATAGTTTCATAAAATATTTGCTTAGGTCAGCTCTTTGCTCTGAATAAACTGCACGTGTGAACTATGCTCTTCTTGTGGGATACATAACAATGCAACCTAGCTTCTGCTCTGACATGCAAATCTACAAGCTTGTAACATGTCTCACTGAAGCACAAGGTGTTCTTGTCAAACTCTTCTCCCTACCCTGACCTTTTGAAATGACAAACTCGTTTATTAAAAAAAAAACTTGAGAAAATTTACATGATAGGCCCAGTGAGCCTACAGCTTATTATATAAGCAAATTGTTCTTTCCGTTTGAGCTGGCAGGAGAGTGAGAGAAAACGAACAGCAACAAGTAATACAACAGGTGGGGCTGTTAGAGAGACCACTCGAAGAAGCACAGTGAGAAGCTGGCGTAACACACTGAGGCTGTGCTGTTCCTATCCCACTTGCCAGTGTAATGATGTGCATCTGGGTGGCTTGTTGGCAGCAGGAACTGAATGGTTCCTGTAAATGTTAAAGCATGATACTTGTCCTGCCTAAGTGAAATGATCCATATCTGCTCGCCAAAGCTGTAGCAAATTCAGATTGACTAGCTGTGCCCCGCCTATCCCTAGAAGACCATTCTGGATAGGAATGGTTAACACCATGACCACCAGGGTCAAATTGCTGAGCTCCCAGTGCTTCACTAAACTAGATCCTGCCTGAAACCTGATCCTTTTTCTCTAGTTCCACTCACTATATTTTACAAACTGTAGAAAAACATCATCCTTGCACTGGTAAAGGGGTTAGTGTGTTTCAAAAGCCACACCAAGGCACATGTTTTGCCATAAGCATTCCGGAACCAATACAATTACTTGACTGGCATTGCATGGTTACTCATGCTTATCCCATTCTAATTTGGGAACATCTGTAGTTTGAATCAATGCAAACATACCCAGAGAGCGAAGGCAAGCAAATTCTGCTAACAGATGGTTACACAGTTAATTCTGGGGATCAAACAATTACAGCTCTCTCGCCATCAGAATGTTTAACTGGGGAACAGAAAGTGAAAGTAGTCATGGTCCCCATGTTCATGAAAGTAGAGGACATTTGTTACACAGATAAGTTTGTTTAAAAAAAACCCCAATTCCCCCCACCATTCTCTCTCTCTCTCTCTCTCTCTCTCCCCCTTGATAGGCCCCCAGCACTGTACGAAGCTAAGCCAGCTCCAAGGCACAACATGCGCCACTCTGTTGTGAGCAGCATTCTAGAACCCTGGAATAACTTTAATTTTCTACTCTCCAGCCACACCCTGAAAGCTTGCCAATCGCAGCTGCTCCACGCTGAGTCTTAAACTACTCCCTAGAACACTCCAGAATAACTTTCAAATCTTCCAAAAACTAATCAGGCAGATGTTCTTGCAAATGGCTTTCAACATTTGAGTACTGCCAGGGTAACTTAAGTACTTTTGAATATTTTAGTCATAAATGTTTCCTTTGAAAGCCCTAGGTTTTACAAACTAATCTAGTCATAAATATGACTTCAATAGCCTGAACACGAGAGGCATGTGAGCAGACAGAGCAGATAGACCTGCAATAAGAAATCCCAAAGTGTCGTGGTTCCGGTGCTGTTACTGCAGTTGTGAGACCACAATCAGATCCAGTATATTTAGACTTGAACCTGTTCAGAAACACGTGGGTGCTTTGAATATGATCAATGACCAAATGCTTGCCTGTGGGCAGAGCTTACATTTTGCTGCCATATGGCGAGACTTACTGCCTTCAAGGTACTGACTATCAGACTTCATTCTCTGCTGAAAACTCTGTACTTAAATAATCAGCGATTGAGTCACCACCGCAGCTGCAAGATTTCAGAAAAACTTCCAAAAATGAGTCAGGCAGATGTTCTTGCACATTTGTCACATTTGTTGAGGTACACTGTGATGTAAGTCAGTGACAATGTTAGTGTGACTGGCATGCTAACAGTATGGAAAGTATATCACTGTGTATGCACAATTCTGGAGACTTAGAATTGCCCCTTCTGGCAACGAGCCTTCCCCCTGTCTCTCTGTGTGGTGTCTCACAACAACAGGAAACAATAAAAGTGCAGTTTCCAGGCATAAGCACAAAGAGTGTGTCTCTTTAGAAAGAGGCTGCAGCAACAAAATGGCTGTGGACCTTAGCCCAGTGAGGGTTAAAGCTATGGGAAGTGGCAATGCTCAAAAACAAAAGCATGACAGTCATGCATCACAGGCCTTAAATATTGTTTAGGGTTGAGAAATAACTTTTGCTAGATGACTAGTAGCATAGTTTTCTTGTTTTTAAATTAGCTACTTTTAGTGGACCTCATTGAAAATACAATTCTTACTGGAGAAAGTGTTCTGGAGAAGTTCTCTAATAAGGCTTTTAGCAGACTCACAGGGTTTGAGGTGTCTGCAGTGTTCTGTTTTCTTCTAATTGCTGGTTTTGCCCCTCATCTCTCACGCACAATTTTTCTATCCTACACACCAACCAGATACAATCTGTAGTCTGTAAAGCACGTCTGGATTTAAAATGAGGTATAGATCTGTGGAACCATAGATGTCATCAAACTTGCATCATCCCCCTCCCCCAAACATTGTAAAACCAGTTTCTTTTATGGAGTTTTCCTACTTCCTTGTGGATTTGAGTTAAAGCACATAAGAAAGGATATATTTCTCAAGAGAGTGGTCACAACAATGGTCCACCCAGCCCAGGACTCCTTCCTCCTGTGGTGGGCAATGCTAGGTGCTTCAGAGGGACTGCACTGGACAGGCAATTACTGAGTGATCCATTCCCTCTCATCCAGTCCCTGCTCCTGACAATAAGAGGCTAAGGGTAATAGAGCGTGGGGTTGCATTCCTGACCATCTTGGCTAAAAGTCACTGATGGAGCGATCCTTCAGAAACTTACCTCATTATTTCTGAACCCTGCTAGAGCTTTGGCAAGAAGAGAGGGCTACAGATGGCTAAATCACAGGGCTTTTTTAAAAACTGAACTGATGATTTGAGATTTCCCTAGGCGGGATTTTAAATGTACTGGGAAATTTATAACTCACTGGTTCAAGGAACATTTATGAAAGCTGTGCCAGCTTGCTCAGTCTAGAGTTATAGCTATGCAACTGTTTTAGGGTGCCCCTGCTGTTAGTTAACATCCCCACCCCCCTCTTTGTACAGTATATAATAAACTTCCCTATAGTTTTGCAACATCATTTTTCATCATATGTTTGATACCTCAAAAGTCAATGCCTTTAACAGAAGATTTTACAGTTTCTTGGTATGTTTGTCACCACATATATATTTTACTCTAGAACTTTCTAATCTTTCTGTTTCCAAAAGAAATGGATAAAGACTTCAGCAGAGACGGAGGATGCAGAGATGTCACACAGCACAGATTAGAACAGTCGTTTTGTAAATGTCTCACAGAATAATTGCACAAGCAAGTAAGTGATCTGGAGGAAGAGGGCAGTGCATCCTTTTATTCAATAGTGTGTGCATAGTGGCCTTTGAGGCCACTGAATTGCAATGCAGTTAACTTCTCTACTCTTGTGTTAATGCTGACATAGCTAAAGGACTGCAGCTGTATCCCTTAGCATTTGTTTGACAGGTCATGTGATATGCATTTACACTCTGGAATTCTGGGGCTCTTTTATATATGCACATGGCTCAAAAACAGGTTTGGAAAGGAATGGGTACTTACTGGAGCCATGGCTCTTTCCTCAAATCAAAGAATTTCTCAAGCTGCCCCTTTGTAACAAACTTTTCCACTGCATTCCCAGTATCTTCCCTCGGGTTATAAATGGTTGGTTCATGATCTGGATTGTGTCCCTCTTCATTGCTCTTCCAGCCTCCATCAGGTTCCTTTCTGGCACCAGCTGCTAATTTTAATGCCTGTGCCCTCTTGGGTTTTTTTTTCCAAATGGGAAGCAGTGGGAGAGGAGGAGTAATATTTAGTGAGAGTTGAATATAGCAGTCGGTGCAGGTCCAGCACCAATTTCTAGGGACCTGCAACCTGCTAATAGACTCACATTCATGATGTGGATATGAGGCACCTGGCGAAGGCCAGGAAGGATAAAGAATCCTGTGGAAAATTGGACCATGATGGGTGATCTTGGGTTCTGGCTGGGTGCCAACCATTTGTGCTGGGGAACTATGAGAATCCCTTGGGGAAGAAAAGGGAAAGGTGGCATTAGGGGGTAAGGAGATGAATCGAATGGGTGGGGAGTCTCAGAGAGAGATGATTTTGTGGCCCAAATTCAAAGAATTTTACACACACACACACACCCCACACACACACCCCTCCTGATGCAGAGGGATGCTCACCAACCATTGGGCCTGCTGCACCCCAGTGGGAGAGCCACCTCTGGAGAAGGGTAGGTGGTGATTGCAGTGCAACCATCTCTGAGGATTCTGCCAAGGCAGGGAACTTTTAAAAGCTTGTCAAGACTCCAGATTCTAATGGCTCCTCGTCCATCAGTGATGAAGGTGATCGAGGGCTTTTGTGCCACCACTACCAACTCTAGACAGAGTCTGTGCCCTTGGGGATCCTGCAATCTGGGCTGACCTCAATGAGGCAGAGTTGAATGAAGTGCACCTCCTGTATTAAGCAGCAGTGCAGGGATGGTAAGTTCCCTGGTGCCTGGACTTGCTTGAGTTCTGAAGGAGGGGAAAGGGAACACAAGACCTTTTCCTCATCCTTAGTCAATTGCAGGGTGACTAGGAACAGTACCCATCCTTGTGCTCCATGTGTAGCACCAGCCTCCTCAGAAGCCTCTGCCTCTGGCTTAATTAGCAGAGCTGGGCTGGTGCTGTGTTCTGAAATACTATGCATCCAGGATCTCTGACTGGGAAGGTGCACCTCTGCAAAGCCCCATGCCACAAGTGGGCTCAGCATGTGTACTGTGTGCCTAAGCCTGGATAAGAAATTCCAGTTTCACACATGTACAGAATACTTCATCTTAATATGAACAGCATAAACAGAGATCATCTTCTGAGCCCCGGGCTCATAGGGCCAGGGTTAATGATATTGAACACCTCATCTTAATTCTGTATTTCCTGATTTCAGTGCTTGGTTTTCCAGCCTTAATATTGTATTAACTCTCATCATTATGCTTTTAGACTATACTAATATCTTCAACAGGCCTGATTGTCCTCTCACATCAGTCTTAACATCAATGCAAGTCATTGACTTCAGTGGAACTACTGCTGAGTCTTCCTTAGGTTAGTGAGAAGAGAATTGGCCTCTATTTGGTCACTGTTCGCATAACACTTTTTCTCGTGGCCTGGTTCTGATGTTGGTCTCACTACACAATGGAGCAGAGTTTAAACCTTATTTTGATAGCTGGTGAATGGTGCCCAATTGGGGTTAATTTTCAGAAGTTACTATTAATCTTGGTTGGTTCAGTTTAGACACCATAAAGGATTCTGTTTTTCAGAGTATGAGGGTTTGGTACTTTCTAAAACTCTGGCCTATCTCATGTGTCTGCAAAAATCGCTAGTCGCTTTTGAAAATTAAGGCCCTCAAGACTGAAATCTCCTTGTTCATACAGGCAAGCTTTCCCATACTGGAAGAGCAATATGTCTCAACCCTACCCTGGAGGCAAGTCGTATTAGTCTGTATCTGCCAAAACAAGGAGGAGTCCTATGGCACCTTTCGATCATTAAGTCCTTGACACTTTTGCCAATAATCTGGATTGTAAACAAGATGGCTTACAGTATATAAAATGAGTCCCTTTGTGTCACCATACAAATATATATGCAAGTGTCAATGGGGAGTATGGGAAGAATCTATATTAATAGTTTTTTTTTATCCTATTACATGCTGACTTTTAAAACATGGCGGCTACGTCTAGACTGGCATGGTTTTCCGCAAATGCTTTTAACAGAAAAGTTTTTCCGTTAAAAGCATTTGCGGAAAAGAGCGTCTAGATTGGCACAGATGCTTTTCCGCAAAAGTACGTTTTGCGGAAAAGCGTCCATGCCAATCTAGACGCGGCTTTGCACAAGAAAGCCCCGATCGCCATTTTCGCCACTGGGGCTTTTTTGCGCAAAACAGTTTTTACTTGTCTACACTGGCCCTCTTGTGCCAA